AACTGCAGTGATTCGCTTAACAACCATAACAAAAATGCTGGTATCGATGGAAATTCCTATCTCAATTTTGGACGTAGAGGAGGATAATCTGGCAAAGGGCTCTTATATTTACATCCAGATTGTAGACTGACAAAACCTTCAGTCTTCCTCTGAGAGTATTATGGAAGGCCCCTGAAAAAATTCTCCTCAATGTCAAAACATATCAAGCAATGGTGATTAACTTTTGCTAATGTATTTGCTGCATACAGTATTCCTTTTTCATCCTTTAAGTTAATATTCCACCATCGGGGGGGGGGGGGGGGGGGGGGGGGGGGGACAAATCCAAATGGCCTCTGTAAAAGTGAACTTATTATGCCTTATTAAATTTCTTATCGCTGACTTTTTGCTCTTTCTATGCATGGAGCCTCACTTAAGTGCTGCTTTCTACAGAAAGGGAATATCAATGTATAAATTAAAACCCTAACTAATAAACCTGATCTATCGCAGGCTCTTCTCCATGCTTATATGAAAGCACTAAATTTAACAGTTTAATAATTCATAATTACACTTAATTGGAGGTATGGAAGGCTGGTGCTTTCCTGAGCTGAAACGCTCTCTATCAGGGGATTAAAAATAAATTGGAAGGAACAAACGTGCCCCAATAAGGCTCTGTCATCCTTAAGTTTCCTAATATCCACTTTTCCGCAAGGATTATTCACAGGGACAATTTGCACAGGTTTCCACTGGAAAACCAGCACTGAAATTCACTCCCCCCCAAAAAACTGGGGGGGGATAATAAAACCCAAGTTAGCCTCAACTTATGACCACAACTGAGCCCCAAATTTATGTTGCTAAGTGACAAAAACCCACCAAACTTTCCACTCTCCCAAAAGAGCCCACCCACCATCTTCCTTTCTCCTTTTAAGTCCAACAACTTTGTGACTATTTGCAAAAAACCCTCCCCTGCTGGTGAGCCCCCCCAAATTTTTGCAACATTGCAAAGTCCCTTCTGTGCCCCCCAATTTTTTTTTGCAATATTACACTATTCCCTGCTGCCCCTTCCTCAATTT